GGGGGGGTTTTTTGTTATAAAGAAAACTCACCATGTCTTTTGAAAAAACTGAACAAGGGACCAACAACTTTGCATTCGATTTTTTCAAAACAGCATTTTTCGGGATAGCCCCCTTGTGCTTAAAAGCGACCATGTTACATGATATCTTTAAAAAACTTCAAACAAAACTGTCCCCATAGTTTTATGCAAGAAAAATTCTGAAATTATGCAAACTGAGCCCAGAAATGTGAAATTATGCGATTCTGTTAATTTTAACAAAGAATGATAATGGAAAATAATCAGAAGTTATGCACAAAAGTGATCAAATTTTGCTGAATTATGCGGGGTGTATAAAACCACGGGGACAGACAAAAGCAGTACAGAAATGTTTTTATTGTGCGCAAAAATATGATAGACACTGTCAATACAACCTGGGCCTGTAGAGTGAAGTACGTGGGTGGCTGGCGGGTGCTCTGGTGTGGTTTGCTTTTTCTTTCCTTTCAAACGTCTATCATCCTTATCTCCCTTCTTTTTTATGTTGGTTACTCTCTTGTAAACTGTCTTGTAACACCTGTAATCTTCTGGCGCTCATACGACCTTATGCAGGGGTAGGTGAGGGCTATAAATAGCTTGGGATTGTAAGAGTTAAACATTAAATAAATAGATAAAAATAGATGAATAAATATAGAAATAAATTTCATTTACTGATCCGCGTGGGGAAATTTGGTTTACAATAGCTAACATACACATACATAAATACATGATTATAAATACATACATACGAAAATGCATACATAAATACATACATAAATACATGTATACATGAATACACAATATTATTACACCAAAACAGAACAATTTCACAAACATGCCATTACTGGTCGCCTCTGTGCGGTGCCCTGTTTTAATAACTTTAAGCTTTTCTCCGGCTCTGAGCACAACCCCTCAAGCTCCAGTAATAATGATAAATAATAAATAGCATGTTGTATAGCGCATGTCCCCACTCAACAGCAGGCTCTATGCACTTTACACTATATTATTACCCCAGCAGACCACAAAACACTCCGAAACATTCTCAGCTTCCTGGGAAGCATACAGTGCAAGCAGCTAGTTAAGCGCTCAAACACTAACAAACTGACAAGATCTTTCACTGTCTATAGTCGGGTACCCATTCCCACCTGGGTGGAGTGGAGAAAATTCGTGTAAAGTGCCTTTCCCAAGGACACAACGTCAGGCCCGCGGCTCGAACCCCCGAACCCGCAACCTCACGATTACGAGTCAGGTAGCCTAACCACTAGGCCACCTACGCCACCAGTACTTTGCTTTAATGGCCTTTTCCACCTGTGCCCCAAAACTTACTTTGGAACTACAATCGAACCTGCCCTGACGGCCACCTCTATAAGACGGCCACCTGTACAAACGGCCACTTTCCATTTCCCCCCTTGTGTTTTTTCTATATAATTTAACTGTGTAAGACGGGCACCTGTCCAACGCGGCCGCCATAATTTAACACACAACCCCTATTGCACTGAGCAAAAACACCTGTCTTAGACGGCCACCTTATTTTAACACACAACCCCTATCGCACTGAGCAAAAACACCTGTCTTAGACGGCCACCATATTTTAACACACAACCCCTATTGCACAGAGCAAAAACACCTGTCTTAGACGGCCACCTTAGAGACTCCATTACGTTTTGTCATAAATTGTGTATTGGCCCCTGGCGTTGTGGGCGAGCCGTCATAATCCAATCACTTCTCGCTGTTGTTAGGTAGTCCCTCCAAACGATCATGTTGCATAGGCCCCTCCCACTGTTGACCAATTGGTACCGATTTTCAGC